TTCCCTACAAATATAGCATATGGCCAAAGAATGAGCTTCAAAACGCAACCTAAACCAATTGACTCCTTATGGTATGTGTGTTTATTTCTGTCATAACTCGACTCTTCATACGATGAGAGTCAGAAAAATCGACACATATGTGTATACACTTCAATTTATTTTTTTATAATTTTCGACGTAGTGTAATGTCAAATGAACTTGTTTGTTACCTTCCATGAAACAGAGCAACATGAATAATTGTAGCAGTGAGTGCAGCAAAGCCAACGCCGTAAGTTATTGCAAAAAATGTGCTGAGGTAAAGCGGACCTTCTCGATCATACGCGGCGGAATCAAGGTGGAAATTGGAGTCAATGATAGCTGTTATGTTGTATTCTTGACCATCTGATGTGAACAATGTGTCTGAAAAAATTGGGAAGGTTTTGGCTTTGTAGACATTAAGCCAATAGCAAAGAGGAGTCAATATGTACATGACAAAGAAAAAACCAGCAGCAACATTGGCTGTGGCAAACCATGGGCTTGCAAGTGGGCTTCCAAGGTAGGAGGAGATGGTTGACCAGTCAAGCCCAATGGCTCCAATTCCAAGCCCATAAAGACCTGAGCCAAGCTGTTGGGCCAGGACATTATTGGGGAAAATCCAACATATCCAAGAGAGGGAAGTTAGCATTTCAAAGAGGTAGCCAGGGAAAACATAGTAAGCAAAGCTGCACATGAAGGCAATGAGGAAGAACTGTGTTCTGGTCAATCCTCCCTTTGGCCTTGCTTCTTTCTCATGGAGGGCCCTGTGGTAATGAAGTTTTCTCACATTTTAGTCTCTAAATAACTTGGCATGTGACATGTTAGCGTTTTACTTAATAAATAAATGAGATTCGAGCGAGATTGGGAATAAAAACAAATGTAAATTTGTAGTTGGAATCTCAAATTTTAGGAGTTGTTAGGGTCTTTCACATTATTGAAATATTGTAAGCATATTGTAACAATTAGATTACATCACCTTAGCTCAAGTCCAAGAACTAGTTAGTTAGGACTTGTGTTTTAGTTTTGCAACCAAACCCATTATATAATGATTGCACATGATTTTTTAATTTATAAGAAACGTAAAAATGTATTATCTTCTTCGATAAGTAAAAATCCTATGTAAGTATTTTATGTGAAAAAATGTGACAAAGAATAAAGATGTACTACAATTGCGAATGATGATTTGTAATTAATGGACGACTGAGTCTAGCATCTTTCGACAAAATCATCCATATATACAAAATATGTTGTTATACTTGATAAGAAAATAGGTGAATAAATGTAGATAAAATTGCAGTAATTTAATTACTATCTCTGACGCTTCATTATTTCGTGGCATGCATGAATTGAAAGACTAAAAAGGACACTACTTGAATGCAAACACCTACCTACCCTTTCTAAATTCTCATCCCCAAATCAAGATACCGACCAGTCAAAGGCCAATCAACTCCATGGCCAACACACCGGAATCAACGGAATATTCAAAGTAAATTTAAAAAAAAAAAAAAAGATATGACAAAATTAAACACTCTATAATCTATTAACATACATATTATTTATATATATAGTAAGTAAACATTTAAAGTAAAAAATGAAGGTATTACCTGAACAATGAAACTTGGACAAGGTTTGCCGGCCACCACATAGCAGCTGGCTCAACCAAGTACCTCCTGAAAATCCCAGCCCAACCAAACCCCAACACCTACCATTCAATTCAATTTCAAACCCCATATCAACCCTAATCAACAAAATTTCAAAATAATCATCTTCAATTCAACTCTGCAAAACCAATATAATATATCTGGAAGAAGTTAACAAATTACTTAATAAAAATATTCACCTGAGTTGTTAAGATAACAAGCAGGGACACAAAGAAGGTGATGTGTTTCTTGTAAAAAACTTTAACCACAGTAACAACATGAATGGCGTAGACAGTGCCAGCTCCAGAATTGGCAAAGATGGTGATGAGGACATGTTCTTTGACATTGAAGGGTCCAGGGTTCAAGGTGAACTCCCAGCGGGAGCCTTTGAAAAAGGCATGGGTTGTGATTTTGGAAGCCATGAGCTGCCCCAGAGGCACCACAGCAATCTGGGCAGAGATGGCGGTGATCGAAAGAGGCTCTGTTCTGTACCAGAAGAACTGGTTGAGGAAGGAGAGGAGGACGCAGGAGAGGGTACCCAGAACCCACATTCGAAATGTTAGGACTGGGAGGGAGGGATCGTCTGTGGTTGGTACAGTCAAAGCAACCTGTTCCACTGGTGAGTTTTCTTCTTCTTCTGGGTTTTGAAGTTTTGGTTGAGAAGATGAGGGCTGGCCATAAAAGTCTTCATCTTTCTTGTCCTTAGAAACTGCAGAGCCAGAAAACAAAATTAGCAAGAGAAAAAGGGAATTTATTGATTGATGGGGAGGGCTTGCTTACTGAAAGGGCTTGTGATTTCATGAGTGGATTCTTCCATGGATTCTGTGCTTTCTGTCATTCTGTGTGTCAATAGTCTAACATGTATATACGTTTTGTTTTTATGGTGGTGGATTAAAATTGAATGATATGAGGAAGGAGAATCTAAGGAGGTAGATAAGATGAGTTGTGAAATTTTCTTGGGTCATAACTAATTTTAGGGTATGATGAATTTTTTTTGGTTGATAAAATGGTATGGTTGATTAAGTTCGGATTTTGTTTAAATGTTATAGTTGTTATTAGGGGTGGGCATCTTAAACCGAAATACTGAAACCGTACTCTAACCGCACCGTACCATACCGATTTCATACCGTTTCATTTGATATGTGGAGATATTCGGTACCGTACTGTACCGTACCAATAGAGTATAGTATAGTAGCGGTATCAAGATTTTGGTACCGGTCAATACCGTACCGTACCGAATAGTATAACTTTATGTTTTTGTCATTTATGTTTGGATTGTTTGTATTTTTGTAAATCATAAGGCATAATTTTAACTACTTTGGTTTGTAAGCCATAAGGCATGAGTTTTAACAATTTGGGTTTGATGAATTTGTTGATGGATAAATATTGATTTGGTTGATTTGGTATTGAATATGTTGATTATGATTTGGATATTGAACATATTGATGGATATTGAATATGTTGATTAGGATTTGGATATTGAATATG